TACCTATAACTTTTATATTAAACATTTTTTTGTAAACCTCAAAACAAATGAGATAATGGACTTTATTCTATCGTTGACTCGCCCTGTACAATGCACATCTGTGAGCTAGTCTCTATAGTCAGAAAATGTGCCTTCCTGTTTCTTGTTGTCTCTTTTTTTGCGGAAAACGTCAATGTAATCTAACAATTTCCAAGATTCTTTTTTGCTTATAGTTAATCGATAAATTCCATAGGGTTTTTTTAAGGGGATATTTTGTTATCTATATTTGAATGTTCTATTATCTAGCCTTTATAAACCAATATATTAAATAAACAATAAATTCCAGTAAATTTATAAAACATAAAAATAAATCAATAATCAAACGGTGCAAAAACTTGACAAACGGTGAAAGTAAGAAAAAATAAAAACAGTTAACGATTTTATAGATATGTTCTTAAATAATTAGCTAACATAATATGCAATTTGACTTGTTAATATTTGCGATATTCATTCAGTAACACGTGATAATTGTGATGGTCTTATAAGGTGTTAAAATTGATGTTCTGTGTGATCTTAACAAATAGAGAAATAAGCTTGTAAGGGTTTTTATAAAAACCCTCATTAAAATAAATACAAAGCAAAGAAATTTATATAAATATTATTTTATAATGTCCATTGGCGTAGGTACTGGGTCGCCCCCAGACAAATTTTAAATTTTGACTGAATTATGACTCTTGGCTAAATATTAATTTTGATTTACTTATATGATGTAGTAAAAATAACTTTTTCTAGTTTTATTTGATTAACATTATTTTGTTTTATTCAGAAAATGTGTGCTAGTTTTTATTTTTTTAACGCTGTAATGGTCAATAGTCAACGCTAAAAGCGCGTTTCCATTTTTTGTCGGCATTTGCCGATAAGCCGGAATGCAAAGACGAGTAAAGGAAACGCTTGGAAAATGCCGATCGGCCTGTACCAATTGAAATGTTTGCCATTATTTGTCTTTATATTTCGGTCTGTTTAGATCGGCAAAAGCAGGCAAATGAAAACGCGCCTTAACAGGGCATTGTAAGCTGAAAAGGCATCTAAAACTAAAGGGATTGACAGACGAGCCATGTACAGGGTGGGTCAAATTCGACGCTTTTAAATGGAAACACCCTTTTCTATAGGAGATAGACAAAAACTAATATCGGTGTCTGGAGCTCAATTTTTGTCAAAAACATGATGGTGAAAATTGCATATCGATATCTGTTACCGTTTCGGAGTTACGGAGTTAGAATTTAATGGTTAACGTATAATTTTTTTAAAATTAATAATTTAAGAATTATAAACAGAAAATTTGATTTTTTTATATGGGACATCCTGTATATTTTCAATTTATTGATAAGAATTTAAAATTACCTTTCCAAAAATATAACACACTTGATATTTTGCTCGATTCCTCTTCGAGATATAGAGTACATATATAAAAATTCGCTCGCTTTTAACAAGTAGGCTTTGAACGGCACCGGCTGTAATGCAAAAAAATTCTAGCTGTGAGCATCAATTAAAACGAAAATAATATTTGCTATGAGAGATGCAGAATTTTATAACAATTTCAAATATATTTAACCAACATCAACACATTTAAACTATACCTAATAACAATAAAAAGAAATAGCAAACCAAGACATGAGATTTTGCTACAGGTGTTCGACATATCGACCGTCTTCTGTTATGGACAGACGGGGCAGTTTTTAGACAATTCGCGCGGAATTCATTAACTCAGTGGGGGTGAAAGATACCCTCTCATAACTGCTAAGTATTTCTAATTATTCTTCCGCAAATATATCCATAGGATCAGATCCATGGGTCGCAGGCGGCCTCGACGGCCAACGGCTGGGATCTCGGTTAGCTATTCAATTATTCTTGAAATTGGCTGCAAAAATTTGCTGATAACTTCAGCGTTGAGAGGCGGTGCGGCGTCTTGCTGGAGAAAATATGTTTTCGAGAGAGTTCCATTAATCATCAATTAGGGGTCCAAAGCCTACTAGCACAGATAACACATAATCTTAATAATTATGTGTTATCTGTGCTACTAGTTAAAAGTGGCGAACTTTTAAAAATTCTGTATTTCGAAGGGGATTATAACAAAATATCAAGTGTGCTATATTTTCGGAAAGGTAATTTTAAATTCTTTTCAGTTAATTAAAAATATAGAGGGTGACCCAAATAAAAAATCAATTTTTCTGTTGATAACTTTTAAATTATTAATTTAAAAAAAAATTATACTTAAACCATTAAATTCTACGTAAAAAGGTGCTTTGGAAATGTTTAAATAGAAATACAAAATCTTCCATAGCAAAAAAGTTACAGCGATTTGTTAAAAATACACATTTTTTAAAAACACCCCGTAACTCCGAAACGGTAACAGATATTGATGTGCGGTTTTCACCATCATGTTTTTGATGAAAATTGAGCTCCAGACACCGATATTAGTTTTCGTCTAGCTCCTATAGAAAAGGGTGTTTCCATTTAAAAGCGTCGAATTTGACCAACTCTGTACAGTTTCTGACAATCTGAAGAAGAAGGGTAAAGCTGGCAAATCTGCCGTTCTCTGTAATAGACAACGATAGGTCATTAACAAAAAGCTATAAGTATGGTTCAGCCTCCAAGTGTTTCACCATCTTCCCCACAAAATCTGCATTTGATATTGTTTCTTAGCTTCAATCTAGTGAAGTGTTCATTGATGAGACAGTGCCCTGTTAAAAATCCCGTGACAGTCCCAATATTGTTCTTAATTAAATCAAAGAAAATCTTTTATTTTTCTCAATCGTAAGTTTTGAGAAATTTTTTGTCTTTTTTGTTTTTTTGTTTCGACCGTTGGAAGATTCCCATGGGGTGTTCCAGGTTTTGAGTTCCGCTTTAAGTTGGTTTTCACGTTTTGGAAGCAGAAGGGTTTTGGTCCAGATAGTGTTCGTTCCCTCCTATTTACAAATAATACCGTATGATCAAAAAAAAACGGCGTCAGCGATGGTTATGAAATAAAGATCGCTGTCATTATACACACATGGCCAAAATTATTGCATATAACGATATTTTTATTTTATTTTGGACCTAATATGATTCTTTTTATGTTTTTGGACATATTGGCTTACTACACGACTAACTAATATAAAATTAAAAATTTAAGTGCAACTAGGCTGTTATTATAATTTTATTTCATAATGAGTGAAAATCAACAAAAACAAATTTCATTTTAAACAGAAAATATTGAAAACAATTTTAATTATTTCTCACAATTAATAGTCTGTATTGCCTCCTCGAGCCTCAATGCAAGCTGTGAGACGACGTGGCATGCTCTCAATTAAGTTGTCCAGAAGATGTTGAGGAATGGCTTCCCATGTTTCGCGTGCAGCAATTTTCAATTCATTTAAGGTACGAGGGGATCATTCCTTTTGGCAATATGGCGTTTTAGCATGTCCCAAGCATGCTCGATCACATTCATATCTGGAGACAACGGTGGCCACCACAGTTTTCTAATATCCTCTTACTCACAAAATTCGCGAACCGCTAAAGTGCGATGCGGAGGAGCATAATCGTCTATGTAAACAAATTCATCTTCCACTGCCCCTCGAAATGAGAGGAATTCAAGCGTGCTCGTCTTCCAGATGCTCCCCAGACCAAAGTTCGTCGCGAGTCTGACACTAGGCCTATTCTTATTTCATCACTAAACATGACAAAATTCCAATTAGGTCTATTTGCTCTCATCTCCTCATCCCATTGTAGTCGCGTAATTTTGTGCTGTAAATTAAGCTTCGGAACACGTAGAGGCCTCCTTAAATGTAATCCTCTGTCATAGAGTCTTCTTGCTATGGTCTTTCTTGAAACATTTACTCTTTCAAGGCGAGCTAACTTATTTTTAATAGCAGTACTTGAAAGCAGGGGATTGCGTCGTGCAATTAGGAATGTTTGACGGTCTTGCAAAGCAGTAGTAACTCTCTATCTACCTCTTCCAGGCCGGTCTGTAACCTCGTTTGTCTCCCTGAATTTTTTTAATATTCGCGAAACATCGCTTTGGTTAACTTCTACAATTTCAGCTATTGCAACTTGCCGGTAGCTCTGTTGAGACAGTGTTACTATTCTGACTCTATTAAACTGTGAAATAATGTTTCTAAGCATTTTGAGGCAAAAACAATGGTCAAATTTCTTCTGAAACCCAAGAGAGCACAAATCGAAATGTGCAAGAATTTGTAATAATATTGGGTCAGAACGTTAAACATTGTTTATCATATCCATTTTAACAAAAAAATGTTTATTACAGATTATCAAAGCTATGTATAAAAAAAAAGATTCTTTAAATTCCTTTCCGTATATTTTTAAACGATATATGCAATAACTTTGGCCATGTGTGTAGGTATACAGGTTGTTAACTAGGCAGTTACTTATAGGGGAACAGAATGGCAACACTGCCTATTGAGAACGCATGCACTTATAGGGTTTTTTGCCGATTCCTCCCGTCGCGCGTCGCGTTGTCTATCGATGAGCGTGCCGAGGTTGCCATATTTCAACCATAAAGCTCTTGCCGCGAGTAATAAACAAATTAACAAACCTGTATGTAAAATTACATGGAGAATGTTATTGATCGTCAATTTCTTAGCCAACTGGACGCCATTTTTTTTGATCATACGGTATTATGATCAACCAGGAAGGTTTTTGCAGCATTGCGATGGTACGTAGCGATTGTTAGTGTATTCCTAAGAACGATTTACATAACATTTCCTTAATTAATTTCCATATAATAATTACATGCAATTATAAAACTAAATAAAAATCTAAGAAACTTGTAGAAATATTTCTCTTTAATATTACTAGACTAACAGATTTTTACAATAAATAGAGGTAGTTTTAAGGCAAAGGCTCTCAGTCTACAAATCCTTAAATACTAATCCGATATCTTTAACCATTTCAGCCGTAAATAAAACCACATTGTTTTCGTGGAAAAATATATATGTTGTAAAAAACTAGTAAAAACAAAAATCTGTAACAAAAAATATAAATGTATAATTCACTATGAATCACAACAACTCTAACTAGCCACAAATCTTGTCACGTTTTAAACGATTTCGTAGGCTTCCTCTCGTCTTTCTCATTACTGACCAACCGTTTCCTTCTTTTCCTCCTTGAGATAATATCTTCAGTGATCCACGCCACTGCAGTGAGATACGTGCATATGTTCAGCAAATGCAATGTAATGACGTAGTTGTTGACTGCGTCACGGATCCAGCCTACTACAGGGCCCATAACAATGAAGAGCAAACCGCTGGTGGCTAGTTGTAAACCGGACGCCGCTGGCAGCCTTTCCAGAGGGACATAGGAGGGAATGACAAGGGCTATGAAGATGGTACGTAGCCCTTTCCCTGCGCCTATGATTACGGCAACAAAGAGGCCCCATGGGTAAGTTTGTGTATGAACTAAGACTGAAATAAAATAAAGCAAAAAAAATAAACCTATGCACATGAGATTTCTATGTATACAGAATGATTATGATATGGTATTGAAATTTTATAAAAGAATATTCTTAAATTATATACTATACCGAATGCGTCTCAAAAGTGGCTCACCCCTATTATAACTTTCATATTTTTTCAGATAAAAACCGAGATTTGGTATGTTAGTATATGTCATAAATTAGAATTGATTGACGTATTCAATTGCCTTTGGTCACTTCTTGTTTCACCGGAAATGATAACTTTTGATTTTTAAATGGCACCCTCGGTATTTTTTTTTTACTTTATTTGATAGAAAATGACACCTTGAATAGAACGAGCCACTTTTGAGACGGCACCCGGTATATTATTTAAAAGTTCAAAATCAAAATGGAAACTTTCTTGCAGACTTAATGCAAGAAAAGACAAACAAAAGTTAATCGAAATCATTGATCAATATAGAGGAAATGTTAATGTATACAGGGTGGTCCGAACTATATTCCGGAAACTTTGGCAGCATATTCTTCAGATAAAAATAAGTAAAAAAAATCGTATAAATGTATGTTCTAAAATGCTTAGTTTTGGAGATACAGGATATAGAAGTTTCATTTTTATGTAGATTTTTCCAAATAATTTCTGAAGTAACGTCAATATTCGGATGAAAATTGGTATCTGGAAGTTTTTTGACATGAGAAATTTGATGTTTGATGTCAATATGACTCCTACTTGTAGAGGGCGCCATCTACGTAGTTTTAACTGGTTTGAAGAGTAATAACTTTTCGTCCCTACCTGTATAAAACTGCTGAGTAAAAAAAATATACATTTACGACGTTTTTTTTACGTAAAAAAGTTCTCTTGGTAAAAATCGCTGCGAGTAATGGTTCTCAAGATATTTGGAATCGAAATTATCAATACCTGTCATCATTGACATAAACATATTATGTTGACTAAATAGTCATTGGACTGAAATCATAAATTTGAAATGATTTTGTGTCAAAAGTCAACAGAAACTGTTGAATCATCACAAAAATTTATGATTAATTTAAAAAAATAAAAAGTTCCCAAATTTATCGTTTCAGTCAAATAACGATCTACTGGAGATGTTTATTTTTTGTCAATAATGACATGTATTGACTACTTCCATTCTAAATATCTTGAAAACGGTTGCTCGTAGCAATTTTTACCAAGAAACATTTTTTACGTAAAAAATCACGGAAATGTATATTTTTCCACTCGGTAGTTTTATACATGTATGTGGAACATGTATGTGCCGCCCCCTACAAAAAATATTAGTCATATTCACATGAAAATAAAATTTCTCATGTCAAAAAACTTCCAGACACCAATTTTCATTCAAATATTGACGTAACTTTATTTAAAAAAAAAATATTTGGAAAAAATCGAAATAAAAATGAAACTTCTACACCCTGTATCTCCGAAACTAAGCAATTTAGGACATATGTACATTTACATAAACTTTTTTAATTAATTTTTATCTGCAGAATATGCTGTCAAAGTTTCCTGAATACAGTTCGGACCACATGTCCAGATGCTGTCCAGATATTGGCCCCCCTATGGATTTTATAGCGAAGTCGTAAATGGACTTTTTAAAGGTCTACATTTGGTAAACACACATGCCAAATTTGAACAATTTTGGACAAGCCGATTTTAGGTAATTTGAGAAAAACTTAATCGATTTTTAAAGTAAAACTGAATAGGTAACAATCAAACACCAGTCAAAAACCGACATTAGTTGTCAGCGTCATTTTCAAACGTAACTTAATTTTAATAAAAAATTTTAATATTCAGTACTAGTAATAATTTATTGTTATACTTATAAAGAAAAAGTGAACATGATAAAATACGCGGGAAGTAGATTAGACAGTGTATCTGACATGTTTCGGTTAATTTTCCCTAAATATTAAAATTACTTTTGACAATGAAGAAATCATAGTTTGTAAACCTAAGGTATGTCAGTTTTTGACTGGTGTTTGATTGTTACATGTTCGGTTTTGATATAAAAATCGATTAAGGTTTTCTCAAATTACCTAAAATCGGCTTGTCCAAAATTGTTCAAATTTGGCATGTGTGTTTACCAAATGTAGACCCTTAAAAAGTCTATTTACGACTTCGCTATAAAATCCATAGGGGAGCCAATATCTGGATAGTTCAAATTTTGCATGGGATTTCCTATGTTCCCAACGACGATTCCCAAACAACACCCGGTATACTCACTTATTCTTCCCATTGCCATGGCCATCACACCGAGCAAGAAGAAAGTCTTGTTGTCCCAGCCAATTTTATCAGCAACAAATGGCACAAAAAATCGCACCACGATGTCCGTAACTCCCAGCAATGACATAAACGTTGCAGTTTCATATTCAGTGAAATAAAACTCCTTCAACACCATCGGTGTCAGAATCGAAAAATTCAATTCGGCAAAGTTAGCCACGGTGATGCCCAACATTAGATTCACGTAAATCGGATCTTTGAACAGTTCAAAATCGAAGAAAATGCTAATTTTCTTCCAAATGCTCAGTTTTGCTTGCGGAACGGGAGATGACGGTTCTTTGTGTTCCAAGTCTTTGTGGTCCTTCTGGTCTGAATTTCTGTGTTCTTTGTACTCTGATAGGATTTTTACTGCCTCCTTCAAGACTTCTTTTTCGTGAGGAGGTAGTTGGGGATCTTCGTCATTTTTTACGTCTATTTCTGCTTCTTCGGCAATTGTCGGCTTGTTGATTTGAGATAATTTTCTTTTAGACTGTGATCCAGATTTCTCCTTGCCTAAAATAAATGTAAATCAGAAATGTGTCCTATACAGGGTTGTTCACCACATACGACACAGATTATTGTAGCTAAAGGATTAGATTTTTGCAAATTGTCAGTTTTGGGTTCGTTAAAGGACTATTAGAGCTTCAATTTAAAAATATTTTTACAAGATACAGTGTCCAAAATAAATAAAAAATATCAAAGTTGTACTTTTTTAAATGGAACATGGAGTATATTATTACATTTTTAGTTTCTACGATTAAAATAAGGTAAATTTGATTAAGGTTGCATTTTAATCTTACCGTTTTTGAAATATTTAGGTTTTTGTCAAAATACAGTAATAATTTTAATGCTTCATTTCTCTAAGCGTATTTAAGTTTTTAAAACCAAATATTGTATTAAAGTATTTCTGTTTACTAAATTTTGTGTTCCAATAATAAAAATTATACTACCTTATGCAGAGTGTCTAAAAATTTATTTTAAATAATTACTAGCTTTAAACGGCAATAACTTGTTTAATTTAAATGAAACATCCTGTATATTTAATAAGAATCCGATACACAATGTAATTGTCTATAAAATTCTATTATACCATTTTTTACCTATCTATTCAAGTTTTCATAGAAAATGCAATTTCTTATAATTTAGACCAAAACTTACAATTTGTAAAAAATCTAATCGTTTAGCTACAATACTCCGTGTCGTATGTGGTGAACAACCCTGTATAAGTAGGTAAATTCGTAAATATAATAATAGTGGTTTACCTTAAAGAGTTAAAATAAACAAAATGGGAGTGTTTGATGTATTGTGACGACGGCTTTTAACAGAACAAGGTCTTAAACTAGATGTCGCCCTATCAATATACCTATAGACTTATTGACATTTTATATTATTTTAAAAGATGTAACAAAGATTTTGGGTCTTATACTAACTTTCCCTAATTATTTACTCTAGGAACTGATACAGAGCCCAACTGATACATTGTGTACCATCCGTCGTTATATTTAACCATCATGGGAACTGCCAGGATCAGAGAGTTATTTCATAGCCCTAAAATATAATTCCATTAGTTAAGTTAACTACATTAATTGGCTTTGCGTTACAGTTAATAATAATTGCTCAATACCCAAAGACTTAATTTTGTATTAGGCAATTGTGGTAAAAGTAACACCTTAAAATTTTATTTCATTTTTGACAGATGCTTATTTATAACAATAGAGACGTTTATTTTCCTTAACTTATTGTATATTGATTTTTAGTATAGGTAAAACATTTTTGGATAATTTGTGCTAAAACATTTAAATTATGTAATTAATTAATATTTGGGCGGAAATATAATCATGGTATATTTAATTAATGGTATACTCTTTTAAAAAGATTTAACTAGTTTTCTTTATACAAGTAGACTTTACTAGTATACAAATGGGCTAGTAATATTATCGTTTTTAGCACCTGAACATTTTGTACATTTGTTGTTTTAAAAACAATCTAAAATTTCAATATTCCATAGGTATATTGATAAATGAGGTCTAATTTATAAGAAAATGCATTTTCTACGAAAACTTGAAGGGATAGGTAAAAAATGGTACAATACAATATGATAGACAATTAAATTGTGCATCTGATTCTCCTAAAATATACAGGGTGTTCCATTTAAATTGAACAAGTTATTGCCGTTTAAATCTAGAAATTATTTAAAATATTTTTTTTAGACACTCTGTATGAGGTACTATTATTTTTATTATTGCAACACAATAACTGATCAATAAATAAACTTCAGTAAATATTTAGTATTAAAAACTTTGATATCTTTGGAGAAATGAAGCCTTAAAATTTTTACTGCAATTTCACAAAATTGAAAATTTATCAAAAACGGTAAGATATAAATGCGATAAACCTTAATCAAATTTACTTTTATTTTAATTGTAGAAACTAAAAATGTAATAATATACAGGGTGTTCCATTTAAAAAAATACAACTGATTTTTTTTATTTATTTGGGACACTCTGTGTCTTGTAAAAATATTTTTAAATTGTAGCTCTAATAGTCCTTCAACGAACCCAAAACTTACAATTTGTAAAAATCTAATCGTTTAGCTACAATACTCCGTGTCGTATGTGGTGAACAACCCTGTATAAGTAGGTAAATTCGTAAATATAATAATGATGGTTACAGCAAGAGTTAAAATAAACAAAATGAAGTGTTTTGATGTATTGTGACACGACGGCTTTTAACAGAACGAGTCTTAAACTAGATGTCGCCCTAAAATTATTCGTATTGACTTACCACTATCCGATAAATTACTAAAAGATGGCCTCGTAGACATTGGTTTCGAACCTTCCCCTTTTTTACTCTTATTTGACTCTAGAGACAATCTAGAGCCCAACTGAGACCTTGAGTACCATCCGTCGTTATATTTAACCATCATGGGAGTGCCAGGATCGGTTATTTCATAGCCTAAAATATAACATTAGTTAAGTTAATATACTTTAGGGAATCTGCATGGGAAGAATCTCCGCGCAGAGCTCTGTTTCAAGGGTCTATGAAAAATTGTTCAAAAAAAGAAGTAAAGAAAAAGCCAAGTAAAGAAAGGACAAACAGTATTAAAGGGATTCAGCATAAACAAAGGTCTTAAACAGGGCTGCTGTCTGTCCCTGACACTGTTTAAAATCGATGTGGAACAAGCCCTGAAAACGTGGAAAAGGAGGTACGAACAGATGGGGATACCAACGACTCGATACTTTACACTCTTTGTTTCGCTGATGATCAAATAATACTGGCTCAAGGTTACGAGGACTTGGAATATATGGACCGCAAACTAATTGAAGAGTACCTTAAGAAGACGGAATATACGTGTATCGGCTGCGAACAACAGAACTTAATCCTAGAACAACAACAGCAAGAGACAAAACACTGCCAAAAATATATATATCTTGGCATGCACATTACCAACGATGATAGCCTTGCTGAAGAAATTAAGTACAGAAACAACCAAGGGAGATAAGCAATTAGACAACTCAACCGTATTCTATGGGATAAGGCAGTATCAAAACAAAACAAACACAAAATATATAACAGCAAAGTTAAAAGAATCATTAGTTGGTAGTTACAAAGAAAAAAAAATTAAGTTACTCGAAGCTACAGAAATGGACTTTTGGAGGCGCGCGGCCGGGAATAAGAAATGAGAGAATTCAGAACATCATGGGCGTTAAACACCGAATAACAGAAGACATCAAAATTAGCCAACTCAGATGGTACGGGCAAGTAAAAAGAATGAAGAGAGCAGAATCCTAAAGAAACTACTCAATTGGACATCACAAGGTAAAAGAAAGAGAGGGAGACCTAGACGGAGAGAAGGAATAGAGGGGAACATCAGAACAAGAGGAATAGACGAAAACCCTGGACAGGTAGAGACCAATGAAGACAGGAAATCAGAAGACGGCGAAGAACTTCATGAATAGATTTGTATATATATAATATTCTTTTATTGTATAATTGTATTACTTTACCTGTATGAACGGGATCGTCTTCGTTGTGTAGGTATTGGCTAGACAACCAGCTGCGATTTTTACGGATCTTTCCCCATGAGTTTCTGCGCACTTCGGCTGTTCCATTTTCAAGTAAAGCTGCCGATTCTGGGCTCATGTCCTTAAGAAGAAGAAAAAAATAAATTCCCCTTTTTTTATTTTGGTTTTAGATAGTATAGTTTTAAATATACATAGGTATCGTCATTGTTGCTGTACGTTTTGGGATCCCAAATCCCCAGACATTTCTGCTTAAATCTGCGCTTTATTCATCCAAATGTTCTCTATGGTTATTTGACGTAACCCAAACCAGTTCTTTTATTTTACTTGTTCATCAATTTTTCTTTTCCAACAATAAAGTCCGAGTTTTGGGTACTCAAATCACAATAAAAAAACGTTCGGATAAAAAAAATGATCATTTATGCAGAAAAATATTGAGAGTTGGAAATCTATGAAGGCAATAAATTTCTTATTGTCGTTCTCTTTAAATTTAAATAGCCATAAAGAAAACTTGAAGTTTTTAGAGGCATGTACAGTGTATGTCTCATTAACCAGGAAGGCAGAACTATCCTTGCATGATATTTCTGCCTTCTGCCGTTGTTGAAGTTAAAGGACTGCGGTTTTCCCAAACGTTGATTAGTTTTGGATGTTCTTCTATTTCAGTTATCCTTCAACTTATAGAATAGCTGAAAGCTACTTGTTAAGAAATTTTTGACTGTGTATGTGTAGAAATTTTTGACTATGTATGTATTCAATTCATAGCACAAATCTGACTACGCCACAGGATCCTATACCGTGTGGTGCATTGTCGTAATAGTTGTTTCTTTTTGTAAACAAATAGGCTAGTAATATTATCAGTTTTAGCACCTGTACATTTTGTTCATTTGTTGTTTTTTAATATCTAAAATGTCAATATTACATAAGAAAATGTATTTTCTAAGAAAACTTGCAGAGATAGGTAAGAAATGGTATAATACAATTTGATAGACAATTAAATTGTGCATCTGATTCACGTAAAATACACAGGGTGTTCTATTTAAATTAAACAAGTTATTGCCTTTTAAAGTTAGTAAATATTTAATATAAATTTTTAGATACTCTGTATAAGGTAGTATAATTTTTATTATTGCAACACTAAATTGAGTAAATAGAAAAACTTTAGTACAATATTTGGTTTTAAAAACTTGAACACGCCTAGAGAAGTGAAGCATTAAAATAATTATTGTTACTGCATTTTCACAAAATCGTAAATATTTCAAAAACGGCAAGTTCAAAGTGCAGTCAACCTTAATCAAATTTACCCTTATTTTAATCGTAAAAACTAAAATTGTAATAATATACAGAGTATTCCATTTAAAAAATACAACTTTGATATTTTTTATTTATTTAGGACACTCTGTATATTATGAAAATAATTTTAAATTGTAGACCTTTAGTAGTCCTCCAATCTATCACAATTTCTAAAAATATAATCGTGTGGCTACAATACTTAATTCGTATCGTATGATTAATAACCCTGTATAATAAAACCTTTTGGTCGAATAGAAACTACAAGAATCATTTTCAAAACAAAACACGCGGTTTCAAACCTTTTGGTGGAAATCCGCTGGAGTAAGTAAACTGGAAGAGTTCTTAGGTTATATTTTTTAATGGTTCTTACTAACCCTAAATTTGGTATGCCACTCGACTGGTTGTAACAACAATGAGCAAACAAATGCGTGTAGGGCAAAAGCCGAAAATAACAGTAATGTTCCCTTCATTCCATAGACACTGTTGAAGAAAACGATAATGTAGGGCCAAACGATAGGTCCCAAGGCAGTAGTGGACCAAGAAAATCCAGTGGCAATCCTTCTTTTTACTTTGAAGTAAGTGTTCAAAGCCAAGGCGTTAGAAGATTGCGTGATACCAATACCAGATCCTAGAAAACAAAAATATTTCTATATAATATACTATGTAATTTATTACTAAATTTTATTAAAATTTATAACACTGATGTACAGGGTGGGTAAAAATTCGACGCTTTTAAATGGAAACACCCTTCTCTATAGGAGATAGACAAAAACTAATATCGGTGTCTGGAGCTCAATTTTCATCAAAAACATAATGGTGAAAACCGCATATCGATATCTGTTACCGTTTCGGAGTTACGGGGTGTTTTTCAAAAATATGTATTTTTAACAAATCGCTGTAACTTTTTTGCTATGAAAAATTTTGTATTTTTATGAAAACATTTCCAAAGCACCTTTTTACGTAGAATTTAATGGTTTAAGTATAATTTTTTTAAAATTAATAATTAATTAAGAATTATCAACAGAAAATTTGATTTTATATATGGAGCACCCTGTATACTTTTAATTTATTGAAAAGAATTTAAAATTACCTTTCCAAAACTATAACACACTTGATATTTTGCTCGATTCCTCTTCGAGATATAGAGTATATAAAAATTCGCCCGCTTTAAATAAGTAGGCTTTGAACGGCACCGGCTGTAATGCAAAAAACTTCTAGCTGTGAGCAGCAATTAAAACGAAAATAATATTTGCAATGAGAGATGCAGAATTTTAATATTTTTTTTAATTTAAACTATATTTTAATTTAAACTATATTTAACAACATCAACACATTTAAACTATATCTAATAACAATAAAAATAAATAGCAAACCAAGACATGAGATTTTTCTACAGATGTTCCACATATCAACCGTCTTCTGTTATGGAAAGACGGGGCAGTTTTTGAACATTTCTCGCGGAATTCATTAACTCAGTGGGGGTGAAAGATACCCTCTCATAACTGCTAAGTGTTTCGAATTTTTGTCTAGATTATACGGAAGAATAAGGAACCTTTATTCTTCCGCAAATATATCCATAGGATTAGATCCATGGGCACTAAGTGAGGCGGCCTCGACGGCCAACGGCTGGGATCTTGATTAGCTATTCAGTTATTCTTGAAATTGGCTGCAAAAATTTGCTGATAACTTCAGCGTTCAGAGCCGGTGCGTCGTCTTGCTGGAAAAATATGTTTTCGTGTTCCATTAAGGGCATATCATCAATAAGGGATCCAAAGCCTACTAGTTAAAAGTGGCGAACTTTTAAAAATTCTGTATTTCGAAAGGGATTATAACAAAATATCAAGTGTGCTATATTTTTGGAAAGGTAATTTTAAATTCTTTTCAGTTCGTTAAAAATATAGAGGGTGTCCCAAATAAAAAATCAATTTTTCTGTTGATAACTCTTAAATTATTAATTTTAAAAAAACTATACTTAAACCATTAAATTCTACGTAAAAAGGTGCTTTGGAAATGTTTTCATAGAAATACAAAATTTTCCATAGCAAAGAAGTTACGGCGATTTGTTAAAAATGCACATTTTTTAAAAACACCCCGTAACTCCGAAACGGTAACAGATATTGATGTGCGGTTTTCACCATCATGTTTTTGATGAAAATTGAGCTCCAGACACCGATATTAGTTTTCGTCTATCTCCTAAAGAAAAAGGTGTTTCCATTTAAAAGCGCCGAATTTGACCCATCCTGTACAGTGCTATCTACAGAAAATTCACAAAAAAATAATGGTATTTAAGATAATTACAAGGCCTATTTTAAAGTTTTAACAACCTGTAAACTATGCATTTCCACACTCATATTTATAGGAACCTTTTTTTATAATTTTTAATGAGAAATCAAAGAGTACTTATTAAAAAGTTTGCCAAGTTAATGACATTAACATTTTTTAAAGGTTGCTATTAATATTGGATTAGGGCAAATTAATTATATATATCTCATCAAGGAGACGGAAATCGATAAAATATAAAGAGACAACTTTTAATCAGCATTTAACGGTTTACACAATTTTACCAACAAAAGAAAAAAAAGTCAGTGATGCACATATTCTTTTTAGAAAAATATTCCAGTGATAACTCATATGCACGTCCCTGGTTAGCATTAAAATATGTTGCACTTATAGTAACTTTTACCCTCAAAATTTCATTCAAATCGCTAAAAGCACTTGAAAGAAAACAAAGTCGAATCGGACCTATGTTAATATGAAAAATTAGTCTTATTTTTTCGAGTAGAATCTCTGTACGAGAGATGTTTTTTCAAAACACCCTGTATACCTTGTTTTGGCAGCATAACTATAGCAAAGACTATCGCAATATATTTTGAAATTAACATCGCTAAAATACCTTAAAAAATGAAAATATATGCCTTTACAAAAGCGTTACTGGTTTAAGAATTTACGGAAATAAATTACTCAATAGTTTCTTGCTAGAATAAACACTTTCGTAATCAACAAAAAAACTCTTAATTATTATATCAATCTGATATGGGAATTTAAAAAAAGGAATTATTAGAAAATAAAAACTCATTCAAAACACTTTAAATAAACTTAATAAATACAATATACATCTATAAAATAGATACATAAACAATTAATTTACATATCATTTTAAAAGTATTTCAAATGTAGTTGAATTATTTTTAATTTCCTATTTTAAAATTGAAATTAGTATTTTTGCCGATTAGAATATTTATATTCAAGTAGATCCAAGTGTTTTTAAAAGTTTGTTCTAGTAGCAATATTTCTAGGAAGCTCATTGTCAGATGTAAATCTACTGTAATATCCATGTAATATCTATTAGTACTAATTTATAGTAATTAATTATTGGGATAAATATAAGTAAAATGAAATTGTTACCTACAACTTACCATAAAATGCGGAATATAAAATCATATATCCCCAAAAACTATCACAGAATTGACAGAAAAATAGCGAAAAGGCCACCAGAAGCGACCCAAACATCGCCACTTGTCTGTAAGTAAATTTCCTAAATAGAGGTCCATTTAAAAGCCCTAAAAAGAGAAAGAAATACTTGTACAATGTGGTACTCTACCGCCCAAATCAAAAATCTTATGTAAATTTTCTGTTTGAAAATTAAGCACATATCATAGCTAAAGGTTATAACCAATCTACATTCTATATTTTTTGTCAAATAAATATTTGATCGGCTTTGACATCAATATAAAGAACCGTGTAGAGGCCGTGTAAAACTGTTAAACGTTTTGTCTTTTTATGAACTACTGTAACCAGCATCCCGTAAACCTTAAAATACACTGAAGAATCATTAGAAGGCATTTTTCCAAATACAGTTTCAAGCATTAGTAAATATCTAAAATGTCCTAAAATTTTCTCTAGGGTAAGTAAAAAAATACATTTTCCAAAAGTTTTTTTTTATAATACAACCAAATTTATGATATTTTTTATCAACAACCAATTGAATCGTAAAATTTACACAAATCGCCTTCAAAATAAAATTAAAAATCATAACGTATGCCTTGATGGTATCACAATAAACGATTACCATAAACCAATGACTTCTTGTTATACCAAATGTTGAGCTTATTGTCAAAATAAAGAAACCAAACCGGTCTGTTCTGGACTTTCAACTTAATTGAAAAAATTAAATAAAAAATAATACTATAGGACACAACAAAATTAAAAATAATTAACAAGGAACTTTGGGAATATAATTATTATCTACCCATAAAAAATATTAAAGAATAACTTAAAAGTATGTTTTAGAACCGAATATTAATGATATACCTAGTCCTATTAGCATAAAAACAATTATTTAAATACAATTTTTGCTAACAAATTCTAATATAATTGATAGTCTGGAAAAATATTTTTAATTCTGACTCTTAAAAATCTTTTTTTGTTAGAAAAAAATATCTATCATTATACAAAGTGCTAAATAAATTTAACACACAAAATTAAACACCACGTGCTTTATTTGAAACGATTCTTCGCTGAAAAACTGGTTTGAAATAAGTGAAATAAAAGAATATAAATTTACATAAAACATCTAGATTAGTTGGTTGCTTAAATAATTAATGTCGCTAAATATAAACAAATGGCTTGTAACAAATAGTGACATTAAAAACTTTTTACGTTGCCAATAAATGATAGTATTAATATTGTTAAAAATATACAGGGTGGTCCGAATTGTATTCCGGAAACTTCGGCAACATATTCTGCAGATAAAAGTAAGTAAAAAAGTTCGTATCAATGTGTGTTCTAAAATGCTTAATATCGGAGATACAGGGTGTAGAAGTTTCATTTTTATTTCGATTTTTTCCAAATAATTTTTGAAGTAACGTCAATATTTGGATGAAAATTGGTGTCTGGGAGTTTTTTGTCATGAGAAATTTTATTTTGATGTCAATATGACTCCTACTAGTAGAGGGCGCCACCTAGATATTTTTTAACTGGTTAGAAGAGTAATAACTTTTCGTGTGTACCTGTCTAAAACTACCAAGTAAAAAAATATACATTTAGGACGTTTTTTACGTAAAAAAGGTCTCTTGGTAAAAACGGCTACGAGTAATGGTTTTCGAGATATTTTGAATAGAAATTATCAATACCTGTCATCACTGACATAAATTAAACATGTTGATTAAATAGTTATTAGACTCAAATCATAAATTTGAAATGTTTTTGTGTCAAATGTTCAATAGACACTGTTTTATCATCATTTTTTTTACAGAAAGAACTACGATTAATTAAAAAAAAATAAAAATTTCCCAAATTTATTATTTCAGTGAAATAACTATCTACTCAACGTGTTTATTTTTCGTCAATAATGACATGTATTTACTATTTCCATTCTAAATATCTTAAGAACGGTTGCTCGTAGAGATTTTTATGAAGAGATATTTTTTATGTAAAAAATGACAGAGATGTATATTTTTAGTTTTATACAGGTACGGACAAAAAGTTATTACGCTTCAAAACAGTTAAAACACACGTAGGTGGCGCCCTCTACAAATAGGAGTCAGGTTGACATCAAAATCAAATTTCTCATGTCGAAAAACTCCCAGACACCGATTTTCATCCAAATATTGACGTTATTTCAGAAATTATTTAGAAAAAATCGAAATAAAAATGAAACTTCTACACCCTGTATCTCTGAAACTAAGCATTTTAGGACATATATTTATACGAACTTTTTTACTCATTTTTATCTGCATAATATGCTGTCGAAGTTTCCGTAATACAGTTCGGACCACCCTGTATATATTTTTATGATAAAGATAGAATACAGATAGAAAACATTCGGTGAACATTGTCGGTGAACATTCGGTCGGTGAACAAGTTTCCTATTTAAATAGCACGTAAAAAAATCTTCTTCCATTAAAAGTACCATAACTTTGAAACGGTTTACGATAAAAAAATTTACATCGTGGTTTCGTGTAGAGCATAAAATTTCCTAAAAAATATATCTGAGAGTAATCTAGTTTCTTTTTACTAATAATGAAAATTTTTAATCAATAAACACTAAAACTGATTGATTTTTTATTGCAAATTGATTTTTTTCACTTTTCTTTCTGCTTTCAAATATACGAATTATTGAACTGAAAAAAATTACGGTTCAATAGATTTTTTAGTAAATTTTATGCTCTACAAGAATCCGCGATGCAAAATTTTTTTATCGTAAACTGTTTCAAAGTTGTGGTACTTTTAATGGAAAAACATTTGTTTACGTGTTATTTAAATGGAAAATTTTGAATGTTCACCGACACCTTTTAAAAGTGAGCTAAAAATCCTGCCTTCCGGGGATATTTTTTTTCTCGGTTATTAGTTTCATTTTAACCCATAAATTCCATAGGTTATTTTTTTGACTCACCCTAATGTCTATTACGTAGGCTATTAATAATTTCTTAGAATTTTTACTCAAATGCAAATAAAGATGCATACTTACTTATTTGTCATTATTGTAGAACAAGGAAAAAGAAAGTTGTATACAGGGTGTCCCAGGCTGAGCGTGCATTAGAAGTTTCTAGAGAACTACAACATCTAGCTCGGATATTTTTTGCACATCATAGTTTCACAACGAGATCTATCGATTAAAAATATTTTCAATATGGCGGCACTTCCGGAAATACCGGAAGTTGACAGCAACCTTCATATTTTAAATGGGTGCTCCCATTTTTTATTATGTACTTAAATTCTCTGTAAAATTTTATGAATTTTGATATTAAATACTCTATATCTAACATTAACCGTTTTTGAGAAAAAAAATATTTAAAATTTTTGAACGAAAAAAACTGCCTGTCAAAAATATGTGTATAGCCTAAACGTCAAATTTAATGATTACCACAGCCATTGTGCCATAAGGAGAAAACATGTGGCTATCTACTTCAAGAATTAAATTGTTCGAATGCTGTCATAGAATTGAGCGATTAAAAAATTATCATAAATCATTTTTTTCAAATAGAAACCCACCTTTTTATTTCACTATAGTGAAAAGGCTTTTCAATTCGTTACTTTTTAACTATACATGTTCCAATACCTAAAATAAATCGTTTTTGGGTTATTTAAGATTTAGTTTTAAAGCGTATATTTTCTTATTTTAACTAGTAGCCTATGACTTTAAACGTCAAGTGATGTAAAATAATAGATCTGGCCATGTCATATTGTGACGCTTTGTTTAAAAAGCAGCATCATTTTCGAGCCAACTTTGCGCTGTTTTTTTTCGATCATACGGAATATTATTAATTCGATCAACTATTAGATATCACTAAAGAGCGAAAATACGAGATATATTTTTATAAATACACTTTTTAAACTCTTAAGCAGGCAGTATTTATACTATAGGAAATTCAAATAATTCGTTTTCTGACAGATGGAAATACATTTTCTAACCGTTTGACCCTTAATGTCAAAGGAAGTTAGATAAAATCAAGAAAAATATACGTTTTCAAACTCAATCTTAAATAACTCAAAAACGATTTATTTTAGGTATAGGAACATGTATAGTTAAAAAGTAACGAATTGAAAAGCCTTTTCACTAGTGAAATAAAAAAGTGGGTTTCTATTTGAAAAAAATTATTTATGATAATTTTTTAATCACTCCATTCCATGACAGCTACCGCCATTATTATATGACATTTGAACAATTTAATTTTTGAAATAGATAGCCACATGTCTTCTCTTTATGCCACAGTGGCTGTGGTAATCATTAAATTTGTCGTTTAGGCTATACCGATTTTTTTGACAGGCAGTCTTTTTTCTCCAAAAATTTTAAATATTTTTTCTTCTCAGAAACGGTTAATGTAAAGTATAGAGAGTGTTTGATATCAGAATTCATAAAATTTTACAGAGTTTAAGTACGTAGTAAAAAATGGGGGTACCCATTTAAAATAAGAAAGTTGCTGGCAACTTTCGGTATTTCCGGAAGTGCCGCCATACTGAAAATATTTTTAATCGATAGAGTAGTTGTGAAACAGTGAAGTGCAAAAAATCTCCGAAGTAGATATTGTAGTTCTCTAAAAACTTCTAATGAACGCTCAGCTTGGGACACCCTGTATATTGAAAGAATGTATACTACTAGGTAAATAATTTTAATGATTGAATGTATCTGATTAGAGCTTACCTACCCATGGAAGCGTTAAATGCTGAATTCATATTAATTATGCTAGTCGTCTGAGCTGAGCTAATGTGTAACTCTTCGAATTTCGACCTAAAAACTAATCCGAACTGTTGGAACATTGGAAATGTGCTCAACTAAAAAGAAAATTTTTAAATACACAGTGAATCCACAAACGGAAATTTATCTATATTTTTGCTTTTCAAAAAAAAATAATCCTTCGTATAATTAATTGTTTTATACTTATTAAAAAATTATATTTATATTTATTTATTATTATTAGAATTTTATTTATAAAATAATCAAATAATAATTTACTAAATATTATACAGAGTGCGTATTAAAATATGTATGAAAATTAGAAAAATCCCAATTATAAAGAATTACTTTTCTCAAAAAAAAAATATTTCCTTTTTCAGTAAGCATTAATGGACGCACTGTATTTATTAAGTACCTTATATTTGAAATGAAAATATTATCGACATTTTTCAAAAATTGCAGACACTAAACAATTGATATTTGGTATATACCGGGTGCTTCTCAAAAGTGGCCCACCTCTATAACTTTTTTATTATTTCCATTTAATATATTCCACGAGGTGTTTCAAACGTTCACCAAAATATCAACATTTTGTTTTCTCTCGTATAATTGACAGCTGGAAACTTTCAATTTTAATTTAGAAAGAGATAGGTACTAAAGAGTCAAATAATTTAGCTACAAATTGCTTAAAAAATCATCAAAATCGGCCTACTAGAAAAAAATATATTAAACTTTAAAATACATAAAAATTTTAAGATGCTCGTTTTTCGTGCCGGTGATTGTATAGAAAACACAACTAATAGAAAAAATTACGAAATTGAATATTTAGCTTAAATAAAAGTTATAAATATTGACTTACGTTACTAAATCCACACGCTAACACTATTAGCCAACCCCATCCCCCATCTGGAGGGACAAAATCGGGATCCCCCACTCGCATTCTTCGTCTTTTTGGTTTCTGCTGTTCTATAAATACTTTCGGTCTTTCTTTGATCGGCTTCATGTCCATCTTGACTTACTTTATTCTATTCTATACCTGTAACAATAAACAACAACCTTCAAAAACACTGTTCATCAGTTTTAGTTTTAAAACACGTCCCCCTTCCACTCAAGATAAATTAAATCAATTCTAAGAAATGACACACCTCCAAAGTTTTTTTCGAAAACAAAAATTTGATTATAGGCTTTGATTTATCGGATTTTAATCCCTTGCCAAAACGTTACTTTTTTACTCGGAATAAATCCTTATTGTTATCAAAGTCTCAGGTTTTGTGACGTATACATGAGCAAATAAAATTACCGCACAATTCTGTAAAATCTAAAGTATTGCACTGCGTACCTTTATCGCAAATCTAATGTTCAAAGTATTTTATTTTCCTTGATAACCAGCAGCACATTTTTAATTAGCACTTGGATAAAAACCATTTTTATTATGTAAATCGTCTATTAGAATATCGTTCTATAATAATTATAACTTTTCTAGAGCGAGAGCGGCATGCAGTAGTTTAACTTTCATAAATATAAAATTACATAGTCACGGCTTATACCAGCAAAAAATTAGCTAACATATGAAGCCTCGTCTACAAATAACGGTTTTAATTTTGCAAACTTTGGTTTTACCTCTCAGGGTAAGACAGAGTAAGACAGTAACTAGCGTATACATATAGGCTTGGTGCATTTCAGTTGATTTTAAGAATTCCGACCGCAGCGCTCGATACGGCAGAAATCAGAAATTTTCGCTCTGTATTTCACGCAGTTCCGATGTTGATCGCGTTGAAATAATATAAAAATCGTGGCTTTGTCATAATGTTTAAGTATTTTAGTTTGTATTAGTATTAGTGCAATTATTGAAACTATACAGGGTGGTCCGAACTGTATTCCGGATACTTCGGCAGCATATTCTGCAGATTAAAATAAGTAAAAAATTTGTAAAAATGTATGTCCTAAAATGCTTAGTTTCGGAGATACAGGGTGTAGAAGTTTCAGTTTTATTTCGATTTTTTCCAAATAATTTCTGAAATAACGTCAATATTTGGATGAAAATTGATATCTGGGAGTTTCTTGACATGAGAAATTTGATTTTAATGCCAACAGAAATCTTACTTGTAGAGGGCGCCACCTGTATATTTTTTAACTGGTTTGAACACTAATAACTTTTCGTCCGTACCTGTATAAAACTAAAGAGTAAAAAAAATACATTTACGACGTTTTTTACGTAAGAAAGGTCTCTTGGTAAAAATCGCTACGGCTAATGGTTCTCGAGATATTTCGAATCTAAATTATCAATACCTGTCATTATTGACATAAATTAAACATGTTGACTAAATAGTTATTAGACTGAAATCATAAATTTGAAATGTTTTTGTGCTAAAAGTTCAACAGCAACTATTTTATCATAATTTTTTGCAGAAAAATTTATGATTAATTTAAAAAAATAAAAATTTCCCAAAAATTTATTATTTCAGTGAAATAACTATCTACTCAACGTGTTTATTTTTCGGCAATAATGACATGTATTGACTATTTCCATTTTAAATATCTTAAGAACGGTTTCCCGGGGCGATTTTTACAAAGAGATATTTTTTACGTAAAAAGTCACAGAGATGTATATTTTTTCGCTCGGTTGTTTTATACAGGTACGGACAAAAAGTTATTACGCTTTAAAACAGTTAAAACACATGTAGGTGGCGCCCTCTACTAGTAGGAATCATATTGACATCAAAATCAAATTTCTCATGTCAAAAAACTCCCAGACACCAATTTTCATCGAAATATTGACGTTACTTCAGAAATTATTTAGAAAAAATCGAAATAAAAATGAAACTTCTACACCCTGTATTTCTGAAACTATGCATTTTAGGAAATACATTTATGCGAACTTTTTTGCTTATTTTTATCTGCAGAATATGCTGCCAAAGTTTCCGGAATACAGTTCGGACCACCCTGTATATGTTATTGTATAACACTGAGGTACGAGGTTTGTGTGTAAAAACGCGGTTTCGGATGGTAAAAATTAAGTGAAAAATAACCCGGAACTACAAATAACGGTCGTAATAATAAAGGTCGCTTTGTGTTGTGATAATTTCAGATGTTAATAAAATTATCGAAAAAATGTTAACGCATAAAGGGGAGCGTAATTAGTAATTAGGGCGTTGTAGTGCAATATCATTCAATAACACAACTTTCCCGGATATTCAACTCTCCCGAAAATATATCTTCATGGTTTCTCACACTGATTTGATCAAAAGCAAAAATGGATTCAAGCAGTTACATATCACCAAACAGTTACAGCATGCAAATATCCCAATTTATCGAAATAAAAGTTTTTTTATTCAAGGGATATTGAGTAATGCTATTTTCCCATTTTGTACCAATTTTCATAAATATACAGAAACACTTTAAAGAAGAGTAAAAAGGTTGAACTGTGTAAAGTAATTATGTTGATATATTGTGTCAAAAACTTATCAATATTTGGCAAAGTTATTGTACATGCTATACATTGACAACATTAAAATGGCTTGAATAAACATATTTGAAAACAAATCTCTGAATATTAGGTATCGTGTATTATTAAAATTAAATTATGTTTAAGTGTGGGTATATACCAATTTAACAGTAAATAAACATATTATACCAATTCGTCACATTTATCATTAAAATCATTAATTATTATAAACCGCACGTTTCAAATTTTCGGCATTTTAAAAATTTATATTATTTAATTTTAAAATTCGAATAAGGTACGCGCACACTGACCAGAGCCGCATTCTTTTCGCTATTTTGTTTCTTTTTGACCACGAACTGAAAACCACGAACTGAATGACCACGAACAAGAAATAATTATAAGGTCCTTGCTAATAGAAGAAGTAGTTCAGTCATTGGAGATTTTCGCTTGAAAAAAAGTCCGGAAGTTTTGCAACTTTGCAGGTTTATAGGTTCTGGGGTCCCTAACTAAAATCCATAAAATGCACATCTCCAGACTAGCCGCCGGCGCCGCCATCTTGCCAAGATGGCGCCCAAAATCGCAAAAATTTGAGGAGAGCAAAATTAAAGAGAATAAAATTTCCTATAAAAAAGGTTTCATAAAAATTTTCGCTAAAGTCAAATAATTAATTTTAATTATTGAAAATGTGTACTTGTTTCCACACCACCCAAGAGGTAAAGTATATGGCGCGTTTATTTTAACATGGTCTCCCCGGAGGCCTACTCCACTAGATAAATTAAAAACTTTAACTTATCTGCACAAGCCCGACGCCGACGGATCTGGCTCATTGATGTCAAAGTCGATCGTGTCTGCTGTGCTGGGCTCATCAGGGTGGTCTCTCAATACGTCCAACTCTTCAGCTTCAGCCGCCAGAGGGATATCTACAGACAAGTCCAACTCCTCTTCATCGGATTCGTCGAGTGACACTTCAGTGACGTTGTCATAGGATTTTCCATTGCAGTATGCACAAATCATTGAACATCCTGCTTTTCTGCATCCGCAGGCTTTACCATAGTTGTTGGTTTTGCATTTACAGGATAAAAATACTACAGGGATTTTGGAGCTGGATCTTTCGACGTTCTGACTGGACGTCCAGGACGACAATTAATTATTCATAAATTAATGAGCGAATTAATGATACGCCACTGTTACATGACAAAATTGAAGAAACTAAACTAAAACCAGTTTTAGTGAACCCTAATCGACATTTGATTCCGGAAAATCGACTATACATAATATATCATATTTTACGCAAAATTGTAAAATTTCCAGGGATTTTGTGCCTAAACGGTTGACTTCAGCGAAAATGTTCATAAAGTCTTTTTTATAGAAAATTTTATTCTCTTTAATTTTGCTCTCCTCAAATTTTCGCGAAAAACGCATAGTTTTCGAGATATTCACAAAATACCGATTTTGGACGGCATCTTGGCAAGATGGCGGCGCCGGCGCGGCGGCAAGTCTGGAAATGTGCATTTTATGGATTTTAGTTACGGACCCCAAAATCTATAAACCTGCAAAGCTTCAAAACTTCCGGACTTTTTTCCAAGCAGGCCCCTTTTTTGATCCCCAATGACTGATCTAAAGAAGAAATCACGAGAAAGAATCGAAATTTATAGGTTCTAGGTTCACAATATTTACAAAAGTCCACATTACTTCCATATTTAATTGAGGATGAACTAAGTTAGCACTAGCCGCATTTACAGAAAATTATTCTGACCCAACAATGCTAGCCGCATTTTCGTCGATGCGATTTGTGCGGTTCTGGCTAGTGTGCGCACCACGTGCGCACCTTCATTGAAAGTTTTTAACACAAACAATATTTTTCTTCGGTCGATGCGACGCATGCAGCTCTGGTCAGTGTGCGCGTACCTGTCTGTCCAACGATTCGATGAAGATTTCGGCAGGTGACATCAGGGGGGTGACAGTGAAATAGGAAGATTGGAAACAGTCATTAGTGTCATTCCTGTCATCTCCTGACGACAAGTATGGCCGCCTAGACAAGGACAGCAATGTTTCTCTCTAACTATTGTCTAACTTCACAGTTTAGAATTGGACATATTTCAGAGACAACTTCAGATTTGTTCTAGAATAAATTTCGGCGCCATTTTAATTCTCTCCGTTTAGTTTTGTTTTGTAAATTCAATTTGATATTTCGGCAGAAATTTATAAATGTAAAGGTAATCACAACCAAACCAAACAATTTACAGCAAGGTAAGATCATTTTTAACTATAGTCAACATTAGTTATCTCCAGTATGTGCGATTTATTGTCAATAATGCAATAAATCTGACTGATAAATCCGATTGTTATCCGAATAAAAGTCTCTTTTTGCTTCTTTTTGATTTATAAACCAGGTCTCTTTGGGAATAATGGACGCTTTTTTTAAACAGTATATTTGTATTTTATACCTATTGATATTTTTACATTGTTAATTTTAGTATAAAATAAATTGTTTTTCTGTTTTCAGGTTTTTGTATAAGGCTCCCGTTTTCATGTTCCTGCCCCCGTTTTCTGTCTCTGATGGCTGTAAATACGTGTATTTATTTACAAAT